AAGTGCCGAGATTACAGGCATGAGCCACTACACCCAGCAATGTGGACTGAAATCTTAATACTTGGTGCTATTCTAGAAATATTTGTTGTTCTGCTGTTGTGCTGTCACTATTGCTGTTCCACAAAGGACATTCCTTGCCAAGGCGGGCAGATCACATGTAAAAATGTTATTTTCTGTTTTGCTCATGTTAGCCTTTATGGTAAACTTAGAAAGGGGGGAAGTTTTGGATGGATGTCGTAGGAGCACCCACACTACATGGATGGGGAACATACAAGTCAAAACTTTTTTTTTTTTTGAGACAGAATCTTGCTCCATTGCCCGGGCTGGAGTGCAATGGCACAATCTCTGCTCACTGCAACCTCCACTGCCCAGTTCAAGCAATTCTCCTGTCTCAGCCTCCCAAGTAGCTGGGACTACAGGCACCTGCCACCACGCCTGGCTAATTTGTGTATTTTTAGTAGAGATGGGGTTTCACCTTCTTGGCCAGGCCAGTCTCAAACTCCTGACCTCAGGTGATCCACCCACCTAGGCCTCCCAAAATGCTGGGATTACAGGTGTGAGCCACCGCGTCCAGCTTAGTCAGAATTTTTATATACCAGACCCATTATGAGCGTCCAGGAACCTCCCTAGGAACTTGCATGTATAATCAAACCACCTATTCAACTGGTGATCCTGGTGATGATCAGCCTTATATATGCTATGAGCCTAAACTTTTGCCTGGAACTTGGTTTGAGCTCCATGAAGGATCAAGGGAAGGAACCCTCTACAACTCAACTTTGATACCCCTTCTCATCAAGAAAGCATAATCCTCATACTTAGATGCGTGTCAGGCCACCGAAACACTTTCAACATAAGAAAATAGCTGTAGCCCAAACTTGCTACCTGAAAAACTTTAGAAAAATCGTAACTTTGGCCGGGTGCGGTGGCTCACACCTGTAATCCCAGCACTTTGGGAGGCCGAGGTGGGTGGATCTCCTGAGGTCAGGAGTTTGAGACTGGCCTGACCAACCAACATGTCTCTACTGAAAAAAAAAATACAAAAAATTCTCTGGGTGTGGTGGCACATGCCTATAATCCCAGCCACTTGGGAGACTGAGGCAGGAGATTGGCTTTAACCCAGGAGGCAGAGGTTGCAGTGAGCCGAGAATGCACCATTGCACTCCAGTCTGGGCAACAAGAGCGAAACTCTGTCTCAAAAAAAAAAGAAAGAAAGAAAAATCGTAAAGGTGTGTACCTGGCTCGATTGCATAACCTATAAGCCTCAAAAAAAAAAAAAAAAAAAAACCAGGCTGTTTCATACCCACTATACCTTGGTATGATTCTGATAACTGCGAGGTAGCAGGTGAAGGCACTGTATCTCAGAGAGCCCGCAGTCTCGGAAATTTCACGGTTTCAGACCCGGATTCACCTATATGGACCACAGGTATCAAAGTACCCGTAGGATACAGTAACCTCACCAAGGCAGATGAAGAAAATGCCGAGAAAAGAAGGTTAGGTGTTGTATATTTAAAACCTGGGCAGAAGACGGCACTGTGTTTTTCTATATTGTCAAAAACTCCTGAGCTCATCAACCACAGCAGCGGTTTTGGGTCTTCATTTAATGAGCATTTTAGCTAAGCGATTCCTGAGCCACCCTCTACCACTAAGACTCTGTTTGCAGGCCGGGCACAGTGGCTCATGCCTGTAATCCCAGCACTTTGGGAAGCCGAGGTGGGTGAATCACTTAAGGTTGGGAGTTTGAGACCAGCCTGACAAACATGGAGAAACCCTGTCTCTACTAAAAATACAAAATTAGCCAAGCATGGTGGCACATGCCTGTAATCCCAGCTACTGGGGAGGCTGAGGCAGGAGAATCGCTTGAACCCGGGAGGCAGAGGTGGTGGTGAGCTGAGATCACACCATTGCACTCCAGCCTGGGCAACAAGAGCAAAACTCTGTCTCAAAAAAAAAAAAAAAAAAGAAATGTTTGCTCAGTTAGCTGAAAATATAGCAGGAAATGTGGGAGTTATGTTACGTATGTGGAAGAACTAACATGGCGGACCAATGGCCTTGGGAGGCGAAGGAATTGCTACCCCAAGATAATTACACTTTAACCCTTCTTGCCTCAAACCCTCAGAGCTTTCATCTACCAGCTCCAGTACCTGGCTCCTAAAGGCTTCCATCATAGGAAGGTACTGTACTGCCTGTTGGGGAGCCACCCACACCAACCCAGTAGGTGAACTAGGATGTCTAGGACAGAAACATTACAAGGAAACTACAGACAAGACCCGATGGCAGAGACAAAACAAATGAGGTAAGAGCAGTTCCAAACCACCTCGATCCAACCCATTTTCTAGATTTCCTTCCTTAAACCACTCCTGGAATCAACTAGAGGCAACTAGCAGGGCATGGTGGCACATGCCTGTAATCCCAGCTACTTGGGAGGCTGAGGCAAGAGAATCGCTTGAACCCCAGAGGTGGAGGTTGCAGCGAACTGAGATTGTGCCATTGCACTCCGGCCTGGGCAGCAGAGGCAAAACTCCATTGAAAGAAAGAGAAGGAGAGGGAAGGGGAGGAGAGGGGAAGGGAGGGGAGGGGAGGGAAGAGGTACAAATAAGAGACTGGAAAGACAGACTGGCCCCCAGAAAGAATTATTATGGTCCAGCTACTTGGGTGCAAGATGGGATGTGGGGATATCACACTCCCATCTATATGATAAGCCACATCATTAGGTCCTAGAAATTATAACCAGTGAAACATCCACAGCTTTAGACTTGCTAGCCATACAAGCCACACAGAGGAGAAATGCAACATACCAGAACAGGGTAGACTAGACTATCCTGGCCTCAGAAGGAGGGGTTTGTGGAAAATTTAACCTAACCAATTGTTGTTTAGAAATTGATGACAATGGGCTGGGCGTGGTGGCTCACGCCTGTAATTCCAGCACTTTGGGAGGCTGAGGCAGGCAGATCACCTGAGGTCAGGAGTTCAAGACCAGCCTGGCTAACATGGCGAAACTCCATCTTTACTAAAAATACAAAAATTAGCTGGGCACGGTGGCAAGCGCCTGAAATCCCAGCTACTCAGGAGGCTGAGGCAGGAGTATCGCTTGAACTCCAGCTGGGCAACAAGTTGAGACTTTGTCTCAAAAAAAAAATTAGAATAATGGTTGACATTAGGACCAGGTATTAAGAAAAATCACAGTGAGCAAAAATAAGTAACCCCTCCCAGCTTAGCCTACCTAACTGCAGCTGCAAACTTATCTCACAGCCCACACTCCAGGCGAGTCATAAAACCTGTTTAGAGAAAGCAGAGGCAAAGCAGGCCCGGGACAACCCCCTCCCTATGCAGATAAGAGCACCAGAGCATATGTTAGGTCTGCAGCCGGCACATACATCCACGATTCCTGTTTTTCTGGTCTCCTTGGGTGTCCTCCTCAACCTTTCCACCTCCTACCTCAGCTGCAAGGTTATAGTCAAATAACCACGAAGCCCAAGATTGTAAAACTTAACTGTCTTTGTCCAAAACTTATTTCCTGCCTTGTTTCCCTGCCTCAAATTGTACAAAAGCAATGCATTCTCTTTGTCCAGGGCTGGCAGCCATTATGGGCAGTGAGGCTGCCGTCAGCCAGAGCTCCAGTAAAGATTCTCTTGGCCGGGTGCGGTGGCTCACACCTGTAATCCCAGCACTTTGGGAGGCTGAGGCAGGTGGATCATGAAGTCAAGAGATCGGGACCATCTTGGTCAACATGGTGAAACCCTGTCTCTGCTAAAAATACAAAAAAATTAGCTGGGCATGGTGGCGCACACCTGTAGTCCCAGCTACTCAGGAAGCTGAGGCAGGAGAATTGCTTGAACCCAGCAGGCGGAGGTTGCAGTGAGCCAGGATCGCGCCATTGCACTCCAGCCTGGGTAACAAGAGCGAAACTCTGCCTTAAAAAAAAAAAAAAACAACAGAGATCCTCTTGTGTTTCTTGGTCTCTCTATTCTTCTCAGCTTGAATTTCCACAACACGCCCACTTGGCCTCCCAAAGTGCTGGATTACAGGTGTGAGCCACTGCGCCTGGCCAAGACCCTGTCTCTAAAAAAATAATAAAAAATAATAGGCTGGCCATGGTGGTTCACATCTGTAATCCCAGCACTTTGAGAGGCCAAGGTGGGTAGATCATCTGAGGTCACGAGTTTGAGACCAGCCTGGCCAACATGGCAAAACCCCATCTCTGCTAAAAATACAAAAATTAGGACGGGCGTGGTGGCTCAAGCCTGTAATCCCAGCACTTTGGGAGGCTGAGGCGGGTGGATCACGAGGTCAAGAGATCGAGACCATCCTGGTAAACATGGTGAAACCCTGTCTCTACTAAAAATACAAAAAATTAGCTGGGCATGGTGGCGTGTGCCTGTAATCCCAGCTACTCGGGAGGCTGAGGCAGGAGAATTGCCTGAACCCAGGAGGCAGAGGCTGCAGTGAGCCAAGATCGCGCCATTGCACTCCAGCCTGGGTAACAAGAATGAAATTCCGTCTAAAAAAAAAAAAAAAAAAAAATTAGCCAGGCATGGAGGTGCATGCCTGTAATTCCAGCTACTAGGGAGGCTGAGGCAGGATCACTTGAACCTGGGAGGCGGAGGTTGCAGTGAGCCAAGATTGTGCCACTGTATTACAGCCTGAGCAACAGAGCAAGACTCCATCTCAAAATAATAATAAGCAATTAAAACAGGGTGAGTCTGAGGATTCCTGGCTTCCACTGCACTGGGGAGGTAGCCATGCTGAATGAGGGTCCCCTGACCTGGGAACAGGAAGGCACTGCCCAAGCTCTGCTCTTCTTCCAAGAAGCCTGAAATTAACGCAGACTCCTCGCCCCAGCCCTGGCTCCACTGCTCCCAAAAAGCAAGAGACACAGTAGCTGCACCCAAGGCTGGCTCTCCACGTCCCACCTTCTATGGCCTGGGCTCCCATGGAGGTGGGGCTGCAGCAGAGTCCCCAGGCTGCCCAGGCTGAGGAAGACAGAGACCCAGAGGCAGGCCGAGGTTGTGAAGCAACTTTATTCACCGCCCTCTGATGGGGCAGCAGGAGTGTCTTCCGCATGGGGTCATTCCACCCCCTGGGAGCTGCCTGGGGCCAGCCCCTCAGTTCTGGCTGTGGCGTGTTCCCCTTCCAAGCTCCCCAGGTCTCCATAGGGAATGTCCAGGGACTCTGAATCTCCAGGGCTGCTTCTGCAGGAGCTCGAGTTTGAGGCTGGAGGTTCCACATAGCCAGAACAGCCCTGGTCTCTGAGGGCTGGCACGCCTATATGGCTGCCCACATCACTGATCACCTCCTGCCCGGCTGCACCCAGGGCTGGGTGATGGTGGTGGCCAGTGTTTGTCCTCAGATCAGAAAAGTCTTCCGTTCTGACACCACCAGGGACTCCTTTGCATTCACCAGCAGCCCCATTGGGCAGAGGCGCCCCTGGGCTCGAAGCCAGAACAAAAGGAGGAGGGTGGCAGCCACCAGGCTTGTACTAAGTACCGCTGTGGGGAACAGATGAACAGAGGAGTAATAAGAGGGGAAGGCAAGAGCCCCCAAACCCACCAAGCTCTGCCCACACGGAGATGGGAGTTCTGCAGCTCATCCCTCCCCAACCACCTCCCCTGAATCCCACTTAGAGCTCCCATGCAGCTCTAAGCCTCCTGCATGGGAGGGTAAGTCCATCTCACCGGCAACTGCAATAACCCCATAGGCACTTGGTCTTCCAGAGGACGTTGCATTCCTGAGAGAGGTGACACTCTCAAAGGTCACAGGCGGCCCCATAGTTGTGGCATTCCCTTTCAGGAGGGTCTCACTGGTTCCTGCAATAAGCCCAGGCATTTCAGTTGTTGAGGGGACGCACTGAAGGCATGAGGGGGCCAGGTGCCCAGGACAGCCCTTGGGGTTTATCTTCCAACCCAGGCTGGGTGAAGCTGACTGCTGCCTGTCATTATGTTACTGTTTTTATTTTTTTTAGAGGGAATCTGGCTCTGTCACCCAGGCTGGAGTGCAATGGCACAATATCAGCTCACTGCAACCTCCGCCTTCTGGATTTAAGCGATTCTCCTATCTCAGCCTCCTGAGTAGCTGGGATTACAGGTGTGTGCCACCATGCCCGGCTAACTTTTGTATTTTTAGTAGAGGCGGGGTTTCACCATGTTGGCCAGGCTGGTCTCGAACTCCTGACCTCAAATAATCCACCCACCTCAGCCTCCCCAAGTCCTGGGATTACAGGCGTGACCCATTGTGCCTTGCCCCTAATAATGTCTTGCAGCCCCCACAGGCAGAGCCCCACTGGCAGAGCCATGTGTCCACGCCCCCAGCCTGGTCACGCCACAGCAGGCAGCGGGTGGCCCCGTCTACCCACCAGTCCGCCCCATCCCCGCAAGTGCGCACCACAGCCGAGCTCATCACTGGAGTCAGAACAGTCTGGGTGGCCGTCGCAGAGCCATGTGAGTGGAATGCATTCATCGCTCAGGGTGCAATGGAGCTCTCCTGCTGGGCAGGTTGGGCGGCTGCAGTTGCGCAGTTTCTCGTCGGTTTCCCCGGAGCAGTCACTGACGCCAGTACAGGAGCAGAGGTGGCCAGGGGGCGGTGGGCATTGCCCATTCTGGGTACACGGCTCAATCGCTGGGGCACAGGGTCAGTCAGGTCCCAAATGACCACCCAAGAAGGCCCAGGTACTCCCTGCAACCCAGTTCCTTGCAAGCTCCACCTTCTAAGAACAGCTCAGTCCAAAAAGTGTAACCTTCCACAGGCTCCGCGCCCTGCAACTATTAATTCTACCTTCTAAAGACAGACCTCCCTGCAAGCTCTTCCCCCAAGACTCCACTTGCTCTACCTTCCTACAAGCCCACTTTATTCTATTTTTTTTTTTTTTTTTTGAGACGGAGTTTTGCTCTTGTTATCTAGGCTGGAGTGCAATGGCACGATCTCGGCTCACCGGAACCTCCGCCTCCTGGGTTCAGGCAATTCTCCTGCCTCAGCCTCCCAAGTAGCTGGGACTACAGGCATGCACCACCACACTCAGCTAATTTTTGTATTTTTAGTAGAGACAGGGTTTCACCATGTTGGCCAGGCTTGTGTTGAACTCCTAACCTCAAGTGATCTGCCAGCCTAGGCTTCCCAAAGTGCTGGGATTACAGGCGTGAGCCACCGCACCTGGCCCTTTCTTTTTCTTTCTTTCCTTCCTTTCTCTTTTTTCTCTTTCTTCTTTCTTTTATCCCTGATACAGAGTCTCACTCTCTTGCCTAGGCTGAAGTGCACTAGTGCAATCTTAACTCACTGCAGCCTCAACCTCCCAGGTTCAAGTGATCCTCCTGCCTCAGCCTCCGAGTAGCTAGGACTACAGGTGTACACCACCATGCTGGGCTAATTTTTTATCTTCTGTAGAGAGGGGGTCTCACTATGTTGTCCAGGCTGGTCTCACACTCCTGGATTCAAGCAATCCTCCCGCCCTAGCCTCCCAAAGTGCTGGGATTATAGACGTGAGCCACCGTGCCCAGCCCAAGTCCATCTTAGACCCTGCTTCTTCTTATGAACCATAGACCCAAGTCCCACCTACCCCTGTGGCCCTGCCTTTCCCACAGGCTCCACCTCTGTGCACCTTGGCCCCTCACATCCCACCCACAGGCCCCACCCCCTGTAAGCCCTGCCCCTGGGCATGGCCACTCACGGCATTCCTCTTCATCACTGGCATCAGGGCAGTCCTCATCAGTGTCGCAGCGCCAGTTGAGGGGCACGCATAAGTCACCGGTGCGGCACTGGAACTTGGTGGGTGGGCACGAGCCTGCGATATGGATGCAAATGAAGCCTGGGGGGCTGCAGGCTGGACCTCCCTCTAAAGAGTACAGTAGTCACTGTGATCCTCAGGTGACACACTGTGGGAGTTCAGTCAGGGTGGGTGGTGGGAAAGATCTTAGAGGAAAAAGAATACAGTTACAGTAAATAGTCACAACCTTCTTGGAAGGTGGGGTCAGGGAGGCGCTTAGCTTCAGTAAAAGGTTTGGCTGAAGGCATCTGAATTCTCTTAAAAGCTTAGGGCGGCCAGGCGTGGTGGCTCACGCCTGTAATCCAAGCACTTTGGAGGCCAAGGCGGGCAGATCACCTGAGGTTGGGAGTTCAAGACCAGCCTGACCAACTTGGTGAAACCCCATCTTTTAAAAAAAAAAAAAAAGCTTAGGGTGTAGATAACGTAAGAATGTAGAGGACCTTACCTAAAATGCTTGTTTACTCATGTAGTCTTAAGACCAACCTTTGATTATCCAGGGGTGCATGACTGCTCTCTACTCAGGAGGTCTGCAATGTCAATTACCCTATAGCAGCATTTACTCAATACCTTTGTCATTTAATCTGTACTAAATAAATGTGAACTTCACTGGCTGATGGGGCTTGGCTGCTAACTCTTTACCCAACCCTTCTCGGTATCAGTAAGTGCCCCAGACCCCTAAGTCCACTCTTTCACTGGGTATCTGTGTCTAAGTGCATCTGTGCATCCATCACTGGGTCAGGGTCTGCTGGTCAGACCCAGACAACAGGTAAGGTCCTGGGATACAAGAACCACACTGGCAGCTGCTTGTTACTGAGCCCCTAGTACAAGTGGGGTTCAGAGCGCAGTGGTTCCTAGCCTTACCAAGAGCCCCACTAGGCAGGTGCTACCGTACCCTGCAGGCTACAGAGAAAGGAACTAAGAGGAGAATACAGACGTGGTGGCAAAGCCTGGGCACAGTGGCTCATGCCTGTAATCGCAGCACTTTGGGAGACCAAAGTGGGTGGATCATTTGAGGACAGGAGTTCAAGACCAGCCTGGCCAACATGGTGAAACCTCGTCTCTATTAAAAATACAAAAATTACTCAGGTGTGGTGGATAAGTTTTGTATTTTTAAGAGACGGGGTTTGCCTGTAATGCCAGCTACTCAGGAGGCTGAAGCACGAGAATCACTTCAACCTGGTAGACAGAGGTTACACTGAGCCGAAATCGTACCACTGCACTCCAGCCTGGGTGATAGAGCGAGAGTTGGGGCTCAAATGCAGGTCTTGATGATCCTAGAGTCTTCACCAGGCTCTTCACATCGAGATAATCTACCCGGGAGACCTCCAAACTCTGTGGTTAAAGAGACTGGGGGTGGGGCCATTTCTCCATATGCCCTGGGTCAGGTTCATGGGCTCAGGTTAGCAGGGAGGGTCTATCTCCTCTGCATTGCAGATGGGAAATTGAGGCACTGGGCAGAGAACCTACTTAGTCACCAAGTCCTGTTGCCTTGCCTCCTGAATTCCTCCCAGACCTGATCACTTTCCCCATCCTAAATGTGTCAGCTCCTAACCAGAGCCTCAGGTCCCAAGGTCCATTAGGACACCAGAGACCTGCCCTTCCCTCTCTCCTCTCTACACCCTGTGTTTCCCCCTATATTTTCAGATCTCAGCTGATTTCCTGGGTGGGGTCTCATGTACCCCTCAGAGACCTAGGAAGCCCTGCCTCCCACATCTAACAACTGTCCTTACCCTGGTCATGCCTACTCACCCAGACTGGACATCCTATGGAGGTCAGGGCTGTGACAGGTCACAGGCCCCTAAACCCAGGGCAGTGCCTGATCATAAGTAAACACAGGTCACAAAAGGGTCCAAGCTGGGTCCAGAGAAGATCTGAGCTGTCCTAGATTATGAGCAGGAAAGCTCAGCTGTTTGCCAACCTGGAGGGGCACAGAGGGGCCTAGAACCTGGGCCAAGGGACAGAGGAACGGAATGGCCTTTAGGGCTTCCTCCTGGGTACGGCCAGGGGAGGTGGGAAATCCACCACCCTAGCTTGGCTTCACTCTGCCAGGGCCTTTAACCTCTTCCACCTTTACCCACCAGCTATGAGCCTCCAACCCCTCATTTCCCCACAGCCAGCCCCTCCCTGGCCTTCAGGGCCAACTGCACCTTTGAGCCACACAGTCCCTGAGCTCTGTGGAGTCCGGAAGACCTGTGGACAACCCGGCGCCAGCTTCCTTCCCTACCCCCAGGGGGTCTGGCAGCCTCCAGGAGTGACTCTCTATCCAGGCCCAGACTCTCACAGCCCTGACACCTCTGACTCCAGGCCCACTGGAGTGTGTGTCCCTCTGCAAAGTGGACAGCAGAGCACAGCAGTCCCTGCCTCACAGGGTGGCAAACCTGATAAGAGTCAGTGACCAGTGACTTTCCCACCTAGCCTCAGTTTCCTTACCTGTAAAAGGGGTATGCTGGGAATCCCTACCTCAACATCCTGTGGAAAGGAGACTCTGTATAAGGAGTTTTGTCCTGTAATCCCAGCACTTTGGGAAACAGAGGTAGGTGGAACACTTGAGGTCAGGAGTTAGAGACCAGCCTGGCCAACATGCTGAAACCCCATCTCTACCAAAAATACAAAAATTAGCCAGGCATGGTGGCAGCACCTGTGGTCTCAGCTACTTGGGAAGCTGAGGGAGGAGAATCGCTTGAACCCGGGAGGAGGAGGGTGCAGTAAGCCCGAGGGTGTAGGGAGACGCACCATTGCACTCCAGCCTGGGCGACAGAGCGAGACTCTCAACAACAAAAAGTTTTGTACTTGGTTAATGTGAACCCTGCTTTCTTTAAAACAAACAAACAAACAAAAAAACAGTGTCAGGGACTTTGGGGTGAGTCCAGGGACCTACAAAACGCGAAATGCACAAAGGAGCTGGGAAAGCGTGTGAGCCTGAGCCCGGAGCTGCAAGTCAGGAGTGTCGGTGTGCACGAGGAGGCTACTTCAACCCTCCCAGCTGCCTCTAGGGGCCTCGGAGAGGGGGCCCGTCCCCACTGGCCACCAATCCCACTTAGGCCAGGGTGAACATGTCCACAGGGGTATACTGAACTTGTGACCCCAGTCTCTCCGAGGGCCTGGAGTAGCATGGAGGGAGAGACCTCGCGGACGGAGGACAAAGGAGGAGAGGCTGGGAGGGTGGGGAAGGTAGCGGAACAGAGACATGGCCTGGGCGCGAGGGTTTGAGCGCAAAGGCACAGGTATGAGAGGCACCAGGTGACCCGCCCTGCGCGATTAGTTGTCGCAAAATCTGAGCCAGCTAACAGTTTTTTTGACCACGCTGGCATGAAGGGGCGGCCTGGAAGTGACAATGGGGCACGACAGAGCAGATCACGTGTGGGGTGGTGCACAAAGCCGAGGCAAAACTGTTAAGAGCACCCGGGCGGAAGGACCCCCAGGCCCTCAGTATGGGGTCTTCCTAGCACCCGCGCGGCTTCTAGCAAGAGATAAAGTCCAAGTCCAAGTGCTGGGGGAGTGTCCGGGACGGACGTGCGGTGTAGCCAATGGCTAGGCGTTGTCGGAGCGCAGAGGGGAGGCTAAGCCTCGCGAGGAGGGGAGCCCGCACTGCGGGGTGACACTCACCTGCGGCCTGGCCCGAGGTCTGTGTGGGAAGCGGGGTCGCGGCCGCCTCCAGGCTTAGTCCAAGACCGAGCAGCAGCCGCAGAGCCGGGCCCAGAGCCCCTGTTCGCTCCACCCCGCCCCGCGCCATCCAGCCACTGGTCTAGCTGTCTCCGTAGCGGCGCCGGCCACGCGCCGTCCCTACCTCGCTCTTATCCCTGCGCAGGCGCACGCGCAAGAGCATGATGGGGCGGGACCCACGCCCCCCACCGAGTCCCTCAGCACCCAAGGTTACGCGTACCGTAAATGCCAGAATAGGAGAGAAAGAGAATTAGAGGCCGGTCCCCACTTTCCCCAGTGACGAGATCGGTCAAAAGGTATGGAGCCCGCTTGAAGTTAGAAACTTCTAGGGATGGAAAGGAATTTCTTGATGTTCATTTGCATCATTTCCCATTCCACATGGGGACTGCTGCAAATGTTACTGCCTCGTGATCCTCTTTAATATGGCTGCCACGCCCCTCAAGCACTCCTCCTTCCTCCCTCATCTCACTGCTTTCGTGGCGCCGACAGGTAATTAATTTTATTTACTTATTCTGGTTAATTGTCCGAGTCCCCATACAATGCCAACTACTGGGGGGCAGGGATTTTCTGTTGCTCATTGCTTTATTCTGAGGGCCTGACACATAGTACCTGACTCATAGTAGGTTCTTAGTAAATATTTGGTGAGTAAACGACCCCAGAGTCGGGTTGCTTGGGGGAAAAAAAAAGGAAAGAAAATAAATTAATTAATTAAATTTAATAAAGGCCGGATGTGGTGGCTCATGCCTGTAATCCCAGCACTTTGGTGAAGCAGAGGCCGGCAGATCGCTTGAGCCAAGGAGTTTGAGATCAGCCTGGGTAACACATCAAGTCCCTGTGTCAAGTAAAAAGAAAATTAGCTGGGCCTGGTGGCTCTAGCTTGTAGTCCCAGCTGCACAGGAGGCTGAGATAGGAGCATCACTTGGGGCTGCACTCCAGCATGGGTGACAGTGAGACCCCATTTCTTTTTTTTTTTTGAGACTGAGTTTCGCTCTTGTTGCCCAGGCTGGAGTGCAATGGCGCAATCTTGGCTCACTGCAACCTCCGCCTCTGGAGTTGAAGTGATTCTCCTGAGTCATCCTGTGTACTGGGGATCATAGGCACCTGCCACCACCCCCTGGTGTGTGTGTGTTTTGGTAGAGACGGGGTTTCACCATTTTGGCCAGGCTGGTCTCAAACTCCTGGCCTCAAGTGATCCTCCCGCCTTGGCCTCCTAGGAAGACCACATTTCTTCAAAAAGTTGGCTGGATGAGTGGCTCACGCCTGTAATCCTAGCACTTTGGGAGGCCGAAGTAGGTGCATCACAAGGTCAGGAGTTCGAGACCAGCCTGGCCAAAATAGTGAAACCCTATCTCTACTAAAAATACAAAAATTAGCCAGGTGTGGTGGCATTCGCCTGTAGCCCCAGCTACTTGGGATGCTGAGGTGGGAGAATCGCTTGAACCCAGGAGGTGAAGGGTGCAGTGAGCTGAGACCACAACATTGCACTCCAACCTGGGATGACAGAGTGAGACAAAAACGAAAAAAAAAGAAAAGTCGGCGTCATAAAACTTGGTTCAGAGGCCGTCACTGGCACGCCTTGCCTAGGGTCTTGCTCTCCTGGTGGCCTCTGCACACCCTGCCTGGTCTTTCTCTCCCTCCTGTCTTTCTGAATCTGATTCATCCTTTTGCCCCAAGCAGAATCCCACCTCCTCCAGGAAGCCTTGGGCTGTTAGCCTTTATAGGACCCACTCTGGGAGACATGTACCTGCTGCCTGCAACTGTGGCCTTTCCCCTTCCAGAGGGCAGGACCCTCTCAGCACCCTCTTGGTCCACAGCTGATCTTTTTCAGCTGCTGAGGGTACTGGGCTGTGCCCTGGGACAGCCATGACACTCTCCTGCTTAGGGTCACTGGGTGGCTCCTGCAGCCAGACTTGTACATCTCCCTTTGCAGATGTGTGTCTCCTCCCCAGGAAACAACTGCCTTCCTTCCAGGGCTCATTCTCATCCTGCAACCCTAGCATAATGGTTTCTGGCTCAGGGAGGCCTTTCCTGATCTGCCCTAGGTCTCCCTTCCGTGAGCAGCCCTCACTGTCCTTTGCCTTCCCTCTTGAGCTGCAAGGTGACCAAGGTCAAGCAGGGGCCTCAATGGGAAGGTGCTGAGGAAGGTCCATGTGAGCAGTGGCTGGGGGAGCCCTCAAGAGGTGGAAGTTAGGCCAGGCGCAGTGGTTCACACCTATAATCCCAGCACTTTGGGAGGCTGAGGCAGGAGGATCACTTGAAGTCAGGAGTTCAAGATCACCCTGGCCAACATGGCAAAACCCTGTCTCTACTAAAAATACAAAATTAGTTGGGTGTGGCTGTGCACACCTGTAGTCCCAGCCACTTGGGAGGCTGAAGCAAGAGAATCGCTTGAACTCAGGAGGCGGAGGTTGCAGTGAGCCAAGATCATGCCACTGCACTCAGCCTGGATAACAGAGCAAGACTTTGTCTCAAACAAAAATTTAAAAAAGAGATGAAGGCCGGACACAGTAGCTCACACCTGTAATCTCAGCACTTTGGGAGAACAAGGCAGGCAGATCACCTGAAGTCAGGAGTTCAAGACCGGCCTGGCGAACATGATGAAACCCTGTCTACTAAAAATACAAAAAATTAGCTGGGCATGGTGGTGGGCACCTGTAATCCCAGCTACTCGGGAGGCTGAGGCAGGAGAATCACTTGCACCCAGGAGGTGGAGGTTGCAGCAAGCCGAGATCTCACCATTGCACTCCAGCCTGGGCAACAAGAGCAAAACCCCATCTCACCCCCGCAAAAAAAGAGATGGAAGTGAGAAGTCTGTGGCTGGCCTACCAAGTGTACACACACACACACACACACACACACCCCTCCCCCACCTGACCGGTCTTCATGATCAGTGTTCCCCAACACCCAGCGGTCCTGGAGTCCAACCTCCCAAAAGGGTCACCCATTCCCACCACTCTCAAGGTCAGAGCCTGGCTGGCCTTCGGGGGAAAGGGTGTTGTCTTCAGGGCCTCTGCACCCAGGGACAGTGTCTCTCCCACCCGTGGAGCACCGACAGAATTGGAAGACTCAGCACTGACTTCACCCCAAAATCCAAGTAAGCTGGGTACTGCTTAAAATCAGGGCTGGGCATGGTGGCTCACATCTGTAATTCCTGCACTTTGGGAGGCCAAGGCAAGCAGATCACCTGAGGTCTGGAGTTTGAGACCAGCCTGGCCAACATGGTGAAACCCTATCTCTAGAAAAAATACAACATTAGCCGGTTATAGTGGCATACATCTGTAGTCCCAGCTACTCAGGAGGCTGAAGCAGGAGACTAGCTTAAGCCTGAGAGGCAGAGGTTGCAGTGACCCAAGATTGCACCATTACACTCCAGCCTGGGCAACAAGAGCGAAACTCTGTCTCAAAAAAAAAAAAAAAACTGTAAAATCAAGTCAGGTTTGGTGGTTCTTGCTGGTAATCCCAGCACTTTGGGAGGTCGAGGCTTGGTGGTTCTTGCTGGTAATCCCAGCACTTTGGGAGGTCGAGGTAGGAGGATCACTTAAGGCCAGGAGTTCAAGATCAGCCTGGGAAACATGGTGAGACACTATTTTTTTATTTTTTAAAGTAAAACGAGAAGCAATACTGGAGCTCTACGTATTTGTCATAAATTAGGTCACTGTCACCCTGGAGGGAATCCAAGGAGGCAAAGCAGTCAGGGGCCCTACGGGTGCAGTGTCACAGGTAAGGCTGGTCCGAGGACAGCTCCCACCTCTTTATGGGAGGCGCTGGAGTCACCGCCTTCTTCTCAGTGGCTGCTACAGCAGAGCTAGAGGAGGGAAAGACTTCAGTGAGGGTTTCCAAAGAACAGTGTGGAAGGATCTGAGGCAGCCCACACCTGCCCTGGTACAAACATGCCCAGAGGGACTTTCTGGACCTGCCGGGCAGACAGCAGCGTGTTCCAGAATGCCAACTCCTCCAACGTAGCCCCTCAGAGGGTCAGGCGATACCAGCTGGGAGCTGGCAAGCCTCCTCTCTCCCCCAAGCCCTGTGTGAACACCCTGCCGTAGTTCCAGGGCCCAGAACCCACGGTGGAGAGCTGGGCTCCTCCCTTTCCACTTTTGGTCCCCAGTGTACACAAGGCCCCCACCCCCATTCCTGCTGCCTCTCAGAACAGGATGCTGGCAAAAGGACCAAGCAGTTAAATGACACTAGCCTCCAGCTCTTCCTGCCTTGGGACTGAACATCAACTACCTGGCAGGCGCTACTATGTGGGCGCAGAGCCAGGAAGATGGGGTTACCGCCCTCAGAAAGACTCAGGCTGATGGGGCTAAGAATCCATGTGCAAATGGCAACTGCAAAAACACATCTCTGGCCCACAGGTGGCCAAGAGGGAGCCCCCAGGAGATGGTGTGCTGGGAAGTCCAGGATGAGCACCCTCCCCTCTCACTCCGCCCACCTGAGCCTGTGGGGCCTAGGGCTGGAGAGGTTCACACACCTCACACCCTAAGCAAGAAAGAAAGCAGGAGGGTGGGATGACGAGGACGTGCTCTAGGGGTGGAGGCACAGGACCTCGAAGGAGCCTCAAGGAAGTGGACGGGGCAGAAGTGGCCTCCCTGGGAAATGCAGACATCCCTGAGGGCATGGCAAGGGGTGTGTGGGAACAAGGTAGCTTGCCACACTCTGGTGCTGGACTCCAGTGAATCAGAAGGTGACAACCACTCCACTGACCAGAGTTCTTTTTATTTTTTTAAGACAGAGTCTTGCTCCATCACCCAGGCAGATGTGTAGTGGCATAATCTCAACTCACTGCAACCTCCTCCTCCCAGGCTCAAGTGATTCTCTTGCCTCAGCCTCCCAAGTAACTGGGATTATAGGCACGTGCCCTCCCAACTAATTTTTGTATTTTCTTTCTTATTTGTTTATTTAGGAGACAGGGTCTCACTTTGTCACCCAGGTTGGAGTACAGAGGTGCAATCTCAGTTTACTGAAGCTTCTTTGACCTCCCAGATTCAAGAGATCCTTCTGCCTCAGCCTCTTAAATAGCTGGGACTATGGGGGCATACCACCACACCCAACTAATTTTTGTATTTTTTGTAGAGACGGTGTTTCACCATGTTGCTCAGGCTGGTCTCGAACCCTGGGCTCAAGGGATCCACCCTCCTCAGCCTCCCAAAGTGCTGGGAT